CGACACGTAACGAGCGTAATAATATGGATTAGTTTAAACGTTCTTACAGCAAAAAGTGTTGTTCATTTCTACGCTGGGTAAGTTGTGATGAGATGTGATCTGATAAAGTTTATTAAGTCTTTATGTTTCTTTCTAGAATTGCTCTTCATCAACGTAGTAGTTGTCGTATCGGACTGCAGATTTTTATGAACTGTGAATTTTAATAATGAAATTTTATAAAAGTTTTGCTTTATCTCCATTCTTTTAACCGTTTGAGTCTCAAGAATATTGAAAAAACAGGGTCAAAAGATCCCGATCAGCGCGATAGCGCTTCTCTTAATCGATTGCGAAGAGAAACAAGCGACGCAATAGCGCTCGTCATATTTGTTATTTTTATGAAATACATCTATATTATTATATATGCATATTATTGATTTATAAATATTTCAAGTTTTGTTCAATAAAAATTATTGAGAAGATAACATAATAAAATACAAAATTCCGTCAGTCGTCCATAGCGTTCAAATGTACTGTGACCTTTCGACACAAAATCTAAACAGCGCGATCGCTCTGCTTGGGACTAAAACGATTAAGTTACATCCATAAGTATATGAATTTGTATAAATATTTATAGACCACTTATTAAAGTTATATATTATATATATATATATTGGGTTGGAAGCTAAGTGTTGCGGATTTTGTCATTAGGTGGTATTGATTGAATTTAGGATCTGTTTCCTGATTTATGTGTATTGTTTTCAATCAATGTACGCACCATTACTTTCCATGATTTTTTGTCACCTTCATGTTAAAACTTCATTACTCCATCGGCGTAGAGTTGCTCTTCTGAAAAAGAGAAATGTTCCAATTCGTTTTTATACTCTTCCAAAGCAAATGAGTTCTTATTGTTGAGATAGTTTTAAACGAGCGGAATGAATAAATGATAGTCTGGACGTGCAAGATTGTGGAGAATTTGATAGATGGAGTAGAACATTCTATCCGAGTAGCACCATCTTTGTCGCGTGACGATTGACACATGCGATATGGCGTTGTCTCTTCATGAATTATATTTGAATTTATGCCAACAAAAAGCAAGTATGTATTTCCAAGAATGTTTGTTTTATACTTTACATTTGATTCTTAATTAATCAGCAATACCAAGTTAGTCCAATTAAAGTTGGGGTGAATAGTTATTGTTTAAGCTTAGATCGAAAAACGAAACAAATTTCTGTTCAACCCAACATCAATTAAATTTTTAAAAATTCTCTTTCATAAATCTGCAAAATTTCTGTGAATGTTTGCTCAGTGTTTTGCCTATTCCAGTGGTTGCGATATTAAAATAAAAGGCTATAAAATTTTACTAACAGTAATAACTGTTTTATCATTGTATTATATATTAAGAAATAGTTCAGTAATTGTACAAGCTTCGTTTAAATAAAAATGGTCCTTTTTGACAGGGTACAAAAGCTTTTGAGGAAGATCGTATATGCTTTTTGTAAATTTTCATCATATTATTTATACAGTAGTCAGTCAAATAATTTTGTATGTCGGCTCGGTTTAACATTGTATTTCAAACATGTCAAGCAATCTGTTCGCGGTCTTTCGCTCTCGTCTCAACGATAAGTAGTGAACCGTTCTATCTGGTAATTAATTTTGCATAATAGCCATCGATTAATCGGCCATTCTCGTTTGCCGCTGACCTGGTATCCGTCATTGTCGCTGTCGTGTGACAAATCGACTACGTCGTTTTAGAACATCGTCTGATCAGAAGTAGAATGTGGAATTTACAATAAAAAACATATCGGGGATCACCGTAGAGACATATTAATAAGAGAAATAACATCAGCTTTTTTTAAGAAACTATGGGTGAATGTCGTCAAGAGATAATTACAGAAGATTCTGTGAAATAGACGAAATTTAAAGGAAAATGTGAAGATCTAGACAAAATGTATAATAACCTTCTCGCTTTGCAAGAGAATGCTTTACTTCAAGCATAAAAATGTAGCAATATATTAATTAGAAATAAATACATAACATACATAGAGCAGGTATTCCGGAATGTGCGAAATCCTTAACAACGGTTATATAAATATGTAAATATTAGCGTTCTTAAAAAAAAGGAAAAATAGAAAACAATAATTTTTTGGTACCATTAATAAATCTTGCCTCTAAAAAGATTAATACAACATTTAATGTCGTTTCAAATAAGAATTGAATGTTCATGATGGATTTTCATAACATTTTAGGAACGATGATAACAAAGGCAATGCAATTTCCGATGAAAAAACCAGGAAACGAAATTTCCTCCCTTTGGTCTCATAAATAGTCAATTTGGTGGTATTTGACGTGCCATTGACACGTTTCAATATTCAGCGCCAGATAGACGATACGGGTTTATCATGTTTTGGATACGCCTCGCGTTTTCCCTCGACGAAAGCCGAAAAAAAAGCGTCAGACATACCAGCATCAAATCATTGTGAATTGTTACGCTTCCTGACCTTTGTTTTCTTGATATTATAAAAAACAATCGATAAAATATCTTTCCATTATGATATTTAAAAAATAGCAGTCGATATAGTTGTTGGAGGAAGTGATTGAAATCTTTGAAACGAAGGGAACTATGGTTTACTCTAGATGAACATTTGCCAGTAAAGCATAGCGCAGAAACAAATTTTTTTCTTAGTAATTTTTCGATCAATTTGTTGAATAAGTAAAGTAAGGCCAGTTTATGAGAGTAATTATGAAAATAACATAAAAGTGTTTAATTAATTTGTAGCGGCATTCGACAGGAACTACGACCGGACGACGGCAGCGCAGTGATTAGCGCCTTTGGTTACGAACGTTCGCGACCCGGGCTTTTCAAATCTCGACGCCCGTAGTCCGATTTTTCCTTTCCGCGCGTGCTTTGAAAAATGCAGAAGAAACAAAAGGAACCAATTCAATCCGTGCAAATCCTCGACCTACACAGCAGCAAGCACTATCATCTACATCCAATACCCACCTCAAAGTGTTTCAGTAATTTGAAAAATTTAATTGAAAATTCCGTTTGCATTCAATTTGGTGCAAAAATTTCTAACATATGGAATAAAGAATTCTTGGAAATAAAGATCTATCGTATTATTAATTTTATTAATCTTTTTGATAAGAAGGATTTTTATTTCGAGGAAAACGTGATTGAATCGAAAATAACTTCTAACTTCTCCTATTTTTCTCAAAGTGTAGTTATTCAATTATCATACGAATGTTTGAGAATTCACAGTTTTCCATTTACAATCTCGCCAAGCTTTTCGAAAGAAGTATTCAAAATGCTACAACGAACGAAACAAATAAATCAATCTACTCAATTATTTTGCTCGTTTAATCTTCTCAATTCCTAACGCTCAAAGGACTTTTTAGCGAACACTTTTGGATAAATCATGCCAATACGATTATACATCAAATATTAATTTTCCTTATTCGTTCGTGACCGCGCTGATTCACGCTCGGCTATACCATAGCTCGTTACACGGTTAGAAAAAATGGACGAGCAGAACTAAAGAAAGTGTAATTAGAGGCATTAATCAAATGTAATTGCAGCAATTAACCGAGCCGTTTTAAAGTCTCTCTATACCACGTGTGGTGAATGCATAATTTTCCTTAATAATTAGAGTAAGGACAAATGGAGGCTAAGTGTAACGCAACACCGGCCAAGATACTCCGTTAACGACAATTAGTCTGTCTATATTTTTACCCGACATGATGGTCGTGTGAAGCCATTCCACCCACCCTCGTTTCTTACACAAAAGCCCGCCAAGAAGTCGCGTGAACTTTATATCTCGGGGCAATTGGCAAAAATTCGTAACCAGTTAAGAAAAGAAGAGATATATTTAGAAGCGCAAATTTCGACGAATAGCTCTGTCCATCAATACACTTGTTTCTTCTTTTCTGAGTTCGTTAATTCTTACATTCTTACATTACATCTTTCGTTACATGCGGATTACAGATAAAAAATGTAATAAGTATACTTTTATTTTTGATCTTAACGTCGAATGACAGATTAGTTTTTAAATGAGAATACTGGGTGGTCTTCGAAGAAAGTACTCTAAAAAATGAACGGTCGTGCGATACTCTAAAGATTGAAGAAAGCGATTAAAGCACGTCAGATTCTTAACAAACGAGATAATTGGTGGGTAATATATCTTCTACGATCATCCGATTATCTTATTTCTAAAAATTTGATGTGCGGTTTAGTAGAACGATTTTAGTGATAAATGAAAATTAATATCTGCAATATTTTCACAATTTACTTTTCAAGTTTGAAATATAAGGACTATATATATATTTTGTTATTACATAGAGAAATACACGAAACTAGATAATAATTGTGGTACTGATAATTTTGGTATTTTTTTTATCAGTATGAAGTTTTGAAATTTTTCTTTACTTTTATGGAAATAACTGACTCCGTGTAATACTTCAGGGCTGGCTTTAGAGCCATGACTTTATCCATTTAAACAGTCAGATATCCATATCGATAAATCTTGATATTTAATGGGACCATTTTTAGCATTAATTACGCAAGTATGTAGATACCTTTTATGAATATATTACATGTGTTATATTCAGGGTAGTCCACTAAAAATTACCACTGGAATATCTCCAATGTTTTTAGAGATATGGAAAAGTTTATCAACGAAAGTTGTTAGGTATGATGGCGACTATAATATGGCAGTAGTAACGTTTTTGCAGCCAAAGGAGTTTCGGAGATTTTAAGATGACCTCCATTTTAGATGGAATCGTGTATTTTTGTATGCATCACTTGATGCAGCTTGAATACAATGTAATAACAATGTCTAGAAAAATGTAGTAACTAAGAAATAGATCAGGGGAAGAAAAATCATATTTTTCTATCAGACAAAATACTTTATCAATATATTCCCATGCGATCGTTAAGCCAGACGATTTGACACAAACTGCAGTCACGCTTTGCTCTCATCATATGATGTACCTGACTCACAGCCCGTCTTTGTCATTACAGTGACAATGATAGATGCGGAAGCAGTGGCAGGTGGAACTGCTCAGTTACCATGCGACGTGGAACCGCCAGTCCCTGGAGACAAGCTCCATCTAGTTATTTGGTACAAGGAGGAAGCAGACGCGCCGATATACAGGTAAATTCCACTTTTGCATTCCTTATTTTCGCTTCTCGTTGTACGGTTCAAATCACTCTTGCTTCGCTGCTCGCCTCCAGAATAGAAATCGAGGAAAGCAGCGAGACACGCGGTTTCCTCTTCTAACGACGAGTCCTGACAGTTAATCCTCCACGAATAAAATTTCATTCGCTTATCCAGACAGGAATTAAGCATGACTATTGTTTCTCATCTGCGTTTAAAAATTTAGAGATCAGTGATTGTTATAGATGTTGACGTAGAATGCGCATTATTATGAATATACAATTAGTATATAGTATTCTGTCGTATAATATACTGTATGGTGTAAATGCATAATATGATATATTATGTGAAATGTAGTTGTAAATTGTTTATAACTTGAAAGATAAATCTTAAATAACATTTCGCGAATTAAAAAATTTTGAGATAGAAGCTTAATGAAAGTAATAATCGTAAATTAATACATTTTTTATGATGTTGTTACAAAATATCATTTGTTTCAGCGGGCTTTTATCACAGAATAATGAATCCATAATAACTCCAAATAACGAAGTCCGTAATATTTAATTAGGGGTCCATAATAAACTTTTTTCAACAACTTCTGCTTACTACACATATACATCTACTTTTATGTTTAATAAAAAATATCGAAACACGCATTATTAATTTATTTCGAAGTAAAATTAAATGGAAACTCGATCTTTAATGCTTAGTAATACTATTAAATGAAACATTTGTATAATAGCATTATTCAGTAGAATACCGGTATATTAAAAATTATTGAAAAAATCTTTACGACAAAAATATTTAATCGACTGAATATTACATGAATCGTCAAGGCAAACAGTTTTCTTAATTAAATTCAACGCGTATCGCTCCATCGCCCTCAAACCACAGAACAACACTTTAGTCTTCAAACAAGCCGCTCGCGCTTCGAACCAATTGAGTTGCACTTGCAACAAGCCTTAATTAAAGAAGCAACTTCTCGCGTGTGCTATAGCCTGTCTGAAATGAATCGACTGTTCAAGGCCACTAACCAGGAAACCCCCCACCATAGCACCTAACCACTATCATCGTTCAATTTCAATTTAGTCAAAATTACACAACGTCTGTAACGTCTGTAACGTTCAATTAAATTGTTAATAACCCTTTCCTATTGATTAACACGAATGGAAATATAAAACGAATGAAATGAAATGAAAATATTTCTTTGATCATCTTTCTAAAAATATAAATTTATATAAACGATCTAATCCTCCATCTAATGATTCACCAACACAAATATTTTCAAGATTTTCGCAGAATATATAGAGCAATTACATTATTACCGCAGAATGTTCCATTTTCGAGGAAGCAGGCGAGGAGAACTATTTACCATGAGCAAATATTTTGAGAAACCGAGTCAAGTATACCAAAGAAATCGGCTGCCACGTAGAAATCGCGTATCTCACTATTTCGATATCTGTTATTAACCCCTTAACCTACGATTTACGTTCGAGAATTTTGGACCAAAAACGTAAACAAACTATTATATATTATATTATATATTATACTTGGCCCGATCATCTACTACGGGCTATGCCCGTAATATTTACGTTTAGCCCGATCATCATACTACGGGCTATGCCCGTAGTTGTAGGTTGAGGGGTTAAAACGATGGTAAAATCTCGATTATTTGAATCTAAATGTAATCCAACTCAAAGAAATCGAGTGTAACTTGCAAATCGCATATCTCACAATTTTGACGCACTTATTAAAAAAGGACCTTAATTATTTGCAAACTTAAACCTAAGCTAAATCGAAAAAGTCGATAGCCACTTATAAATCGCGTATCTCAAAATTTCGACGTCCTATCATTAAAAGAAAAAAGTTACAAGGAATTTTATAATGATTGTACAGATCCTTTAGGCTGTTCATGATGATCCGTGCAGTAGAATCGCAAAATTCGCTCCTCTCGAACACCATTCTTTTCGGAAGTTTGTTTCCGCCCGTGAAGGACTTTATACCTCTGAAACGTTGTCAATCTCCTCTATTTATTCGCTGTTTGTATTTTCGCGTCTGGTCTCTTTATTACCATCACCTTGCCTCACGTTCCTTCTTAATGGAGATTTAAATTAAGTTTCGTGGGATTTACAGAGACTCCTTTAACATTCTACTTCATATTCTTTTATTTCGTTCTATATCACTAAACTTAATATACGGCTTAGTCGATTGCAGATAATCGAGTGTTCCTCGAACAGAAATACGTGGGTCATTTGAAAAGTTCTAGGACGAGATAGAGACAAAGTACAATAGGAAATTTCTAATTTATCATTTTTTAATAATTTTATGGTAATTCGTAGCCTTTAGTTTATTTTACTCTCTGGCTGATTTTCACTCTCTGATGGCAATAAACTGTAATAGACAACGAAGAATTTAGAATAAACACTTTAGAAAATAATTATCTCCTTGTCCATAAGATTTCCTGCATTTACGACACCAGATTAAAGACATAAATAGATTCTAAATTTTTGTAATTATAATATTCATTTGTACCTATGCTAAATGAGCTGTCTCGTAAGTTACGAATAATGGAATACTCCTAAACATAATTTAAATAAAAGATTTGAAGATTTCAAGCAGACATTCTATTTATCACAACTTAATAAAATTATTCGTCATAATAGTAAAAATAGCTTGAAAACGATATAAGCCATTCCATTCCATTACAAGAATTTCCTAATAATAATCCACGTATTAAAATCGTTATACGTAATTGCACAGGATAATTAAAGTAGAAGACAGATGGGAAAATTTAAAGGATGGGATTTATCCTGTCAAAGCGTTAGCTCCGTTTGAATTTTTAAATCGTTGCATAAATCGGCGGTTGCGTTTAATTAAAGTTTTCTTCCGGCAACACTATTATCGCTTGACCCAAGTCGCAACGTTATAAAATCTCGTCGAGCGACGAAACTTATAAAAAAGAAGAAAAAAAAGAGAGAAAAATGATAAAACGTCGCGTCGTGAATGTTATTCTCGTCGAGAGATAATTAAAATTTGTCAAACCCGTTGATATCAAAATGCGTGGAAAGCAAATTTCGTCGGCGAACATTTTAATGAGAAACCTCTCGCTTCTCCTTCTCCGAATGACATCTATTGTCACGGTAAAAACGACAGAAACAGATATACGTATAAATATTTATTTAAAATATTTCTCTGTGGTACAGATTAAAAATCAATTTACGTATATAAATTGTGTTGAAACAATTAATATCGATGGATTCGTTTCATGATCAAAGCATCACGATTTGTTTTGCTATTTAATGTTGCCCTTATTTAATATTATGAGTTCTTAAATTTCTGGTCTACCATTTCTTTTCTAAAGATTCTGTAAGAGATAAACAAAATTGAAGTTCAGAGCTCCTTAAAAATACTCACGAGCAAAATTCAACAACTCCGTACTTTTATAATAGTTTTGGTTAAATGTATCTTTCAAATTTTGCAGAAATTACAATTATAAAATGTAAAGATTCTATGATCAAAAAAGAAGAAACTTGATTGTTTGGATTAATCGTAACACAGTCTGTTCGAACAATCAAACAACTTCGTCTTTGTCTGAGAGATATAAACTAACATCTAAGTTAAATACAATAATATAAAAATCCGATATAAACATCATTAAGCTGTTTAAATACTTGGTCGAACAAAAACCTAGTTCACTTTTTAATTACTTTTTCATTAGAATCTTTTAATAAGGCACTTATGTATGGACCGCCTGTGTATGTGAAACTTTTTTCTTATTTTTACACATATAATGCGCTAACTTTTTTTTACTCGTCGTGTAAAAACTTACGCTTTACAACCAATGTCGCTTAATTCCTTATTTTCTTTGCTGCTCAAACACGTTGACGTTAAAAAACATCTAAATAGACCAACATTTATAAAATATACCAATCGATAAAATCACATTTCTATTTTAAACTCCCCTGTCGCAAGGTCGCTACCAGGATCGCTAACATTCCAAGAAGAGAAAATGAAACGACGAAAAACGAGATTCGTAAAAAAAGAGAAAAAAAATGAGAGAAACGAAGAAGAAAGAGAAACATTCTCGTCTGAAATCGATACAGTACAGTTCGATGGCGCGAATTGCGAGTTGGACTGGATTATTCAACCTGCGCCTGGACAGGTGTTCTCGAATCTTTCCCTCTGATATAAAAGGCCACGGGCAGGATGAGGTTGTGGCCGACCGACGCCCCCTGGGGCTGGCTCTCCGAACCGGTCCTGGGAGGACGTTTATACGCCCGTTCCGATCGTTTCACCTTGTCAAGTCTCTCTGATATCGTGTGAACGACTTTCCTTCGTTCCACTTTCGGCCCGAGATTTTCTGCGATCGTTCAAACGATGTCTTGAGTGCAGAGATCGCAGTTTTGAACGTGTTTTAAAACGCACGTGTATGGTACAGAGATGAGAAAATGAATAACCGAACGAAGGAATGCGGATCTGATCGGTGATTTCTGATTGACCGAATACAACCATACAGATAAGTATTGACTTTGAAAGTGTCGCATGCAGTGGCGGATAAAAGAAAGTTAAAAATTAATACACTACGAGTTTTAATAACCTTTGTAGCAAAGATTGTTGAGCATATTGGTAACAGTCTCTATATATACATGTGTATACAGGGTGTAACAGAACATGTGGTGCTCACTTCAAGACCTGATTCTAGCAGAACAGTGAAAAAACCTCGTATACGCATATGCTTTATCTGTCTTCGTTTATGAGATATAACGAGTCTATTGCGTACGCAACACCTATTGAAAATATTGAAATACTAATATTCAGAATACAAAAAGCTTTTCAAGAAATTCGGGAAATGCCTGGTACTATTCAGAGTGTAACCAGATCCGTGACAAGACGTCTATAGGCTAGCCTTGAAGCTAAGCAGTAATTTTGAACATTCTCTGTAAAAATAAATATATCACGGCAAAATAGAAAATTTGTTACATCTTATAAACGAAAAC